ACTTTTACGTAGTTTTCTTTTTCACAAGTTAAAACAATGGTTAATATTCATATAATATGAAATTCAACAACATCTAGGTTGTTCTAACTAAAATATTTTCCTTTTCCCGGACGATTCTTTCCACGAAACGTTAGTTTTCTCCGAGTTTACATAAACTAACGTAAGCTATGTATTTCGCGTGGGAAACACATGGCGGCGTTCAACGTTTCTCACGTCGTTTACATTACGTTTTCTTTTTTCAAATAATTCAGGCGGAAGAGGAGACAAAAAATGAGAAACATCGATTATTCAGCGAGTTCTGTTCTTTCAGCTCTTGCATCCGCCGTCGAGGACACTTGGTTTTACAATAATTTACCTTTTGAATCTCTAACACTCCACTTTTTGGAATATTTTTCAATTTCAGTGCCAAGGCACTTGATAGACATAATAAAGAACGAAACTATGAATATACATAAAGAATTTTAACATGAATAATAATTTATTGAATACTTGCGCTCCTTTTTTATACACTATACGTAGAATAAGCAAAATAGCAAAAAGCAAATAAGCAAAAAAGCAAAATATGTAGCATTTTATAGGATGCGTTGACGTTCCAAAAGAAATTTTACAATTGTGTTACAATTACTGTTCCAAGAAATACAAATTATCTTCGTGGAATCAATTTTGCAATACAACTAATTGTCGATACTTTAAACTTATAATTATAATTTTGTAAAAATAAATCATGTAACAATCTACTTTGTCTCATTTTTAAGCGTAAACTTATACTGTAACTACCTCGAGTTCGTTTTTTTTTTTTCAGAGATATTTTAATATCATGTGGAAAAATATTCTCTTCTTTAAAAAAAATTACAAAAATTCAGATGCCTCTGAAGACATTAAAAAAATTTTTGAATGACTTAATATAAATTTACCATAGTCTTGCAAATTAAAATTTCTTCTTTGTACTTTTAAAAATCTGTTGGTTTTTTACCATTCTATTGAACTTTGAACATGGGATTTCTTGACTTTTTGTCGTTTAATCGTAATGTTCAAAGTTCAATAACTTCCAAGACTATAGTGAAATTAGTTACAAAAAAATTTTTCTAGTATCCATAGAAACGCTTGAATTCGCAAGATTTTTGGGAGACTACTAGATCTACTTAATCTTTTTCAAAATAATGTAAAAACGAATGGAGAACTTTAAAAGTGGAAGCTTCACGCTTTAAAATGAGTATGAGATTAATAGGTCTATGATTTTCAGTAATAGCAGTTTAAAGTATCGATTAATTCTCTATAAAATGCAAGGATTTTAAATCGAATGAAAAAATTATAAACATTTCAAACTTGTAACTTGTAACTTAATAAAAAATAATAGATTTATTAATCTTATATTAATCAAAATGTTATATTCGTTTTTTTTTTTTTTTTTTTTTTTAAGATATCTTTACGTTATTCTGAAAGAGATTGAGTGAAGATATTTTTTTTCTCAAAAATCTGGCAAATTCAAAATAACTAAATTTACCACTTTGATTAAAAGTGAATCATATCCTCTTTACAATTATCCCTCAAAATTTGTTGTACTTTTTTTTCAATTAACGACAATTTTTCGTCGAGATTCTCTGGAGCGACTGTAAATGTTAAATTTTATATCACAATCTCACACATTTTATATCATCTAAAAAATTAATACAAGGAACGAATGAGGATTACTCACGGTAATGAGGACTATGTTTCGAGTTAATTTTTTTCGGAATAAAACACATACTTTCATACACTCTGCACTAATTAATAAAAGTATAGTAGATACCAATTTAAATTTACACTATTATATAGAATGAAATTGGAAAAAATCCTTAGAAAGATATTTCTAACATTTTAACAAAATAATAGAAACAATACGTAATTATATCAACTATGTACGAAAATACTAACTGAATTGTCCTGAATACTCAAACGATATTATCAAGCAGTAACAACAATACAGAATAAATATAGCAATTGACACGCCTCTAGTTGATAACGATATCTGTGTTAGAAATGGAATTGAAGTAAATGCGACAGAAACAGCATGATTAACTAAGAAAATACGTCATGTAAATAAATGTGTGCTTGTCAAAGTGTATAGAGGCTCACTTCCTCGTAAACTATTCGTTGTATAAAAAAATGTTTCAAACTTATAATTATATTTTACTGTAATTTTATTTTAATTGTATTTTGATATTTGATTGCAACAATTTGAATGTTGCAATTAGTATTTTGATATTTCTTGATGAAGATTATCTCACATTGATGGTGAACACAAATTAAAAAATGTAACTATTTCAAATTTACATTAATAATTGATAGCCATATCAACCATTATCACGTTATAATATGGTATTATATAGTATAGTGTGGTATGACATAGTGACAAATGTGGTAGTAATGTGTAGAAATCTATACTACGACATAATATGTGTAATATGTCATTATACTGTATCGAAAGGTGCTGAACCGGATAAAATCGTATAATATGTCGTGATATGTTGTAATTTGTCATTATAAGTTACACTGTTGCATAATTTGTTATATTGCTACATAATATGTTAAATGAGTTGCATAGAATATTGCTATTCGTAACTGTATCATGTTACAATATGTTTATCACGTTATAATATGATATTATACAGTGTAATACGGTATAGTGTGTTATAATAGAGTTACAAATGTGGTAGTACGTTGTAGAATTCTAACTGTCTTCTGACGTAAAAACTAATACGGTTCTACATAGAAATGTAATGCAGTTCTTTTATTTAATAAAAGTAAATTCAAAATTTCTTTAGTTGTGCCACATTAGTGTTGAACTAATAGCTAGTAGCTAAATGCTAAATTCAAGTTTATAGAAACACTTTCAAAACACTTTATCTAAATTCTACAATTCCAAAGAGAGCCACACAAATTTTAAAATTAGCTTAATGTCAACAAAATGAAGTTTCATATTTTTATTATAAATCTTTCCAACATTAAATATCTTTTCTTCTTTAATACAGTCATAATTAACTGATAGTGTGAGTGTACCAAATTTTGAAAAAAAAAAAACAATATTTTATGTACAGCACTCTGATCGCTCTCTTCGAGAAATACGTATCAAAATATTCCATATATACATGATAATAAATAAACCTCGCATTTACTTCAAATAAATAGATTTATACGCCTAAAGCACAAACCTTGACAATATCAATTTTGACAAAAACACTGGCATTCTCTAAGTAATTGTGAAAAAAAGAAAATTTGAAGTCCGTATCGACGAGTTCTAGTATAAAAATAGAATATGCAAATCGTTCATTTTAATTTTAATCAATTAATTTATTACAAATGGAATAAGGTGTGCAAGACAAGAATTTCTCATTGCTTCAATGATATTCTTTGTCGGTTTAAACGACAAATTGTTTGAAAAAATTTTTCTTTAAAGTATGATAGTATGATAAGTATCCAAGGTTATTTGTTGTGAAATATATTCTTTTAATAGCAATTAACTGTGAATCAAGGTTACATTTAACATTCCCAGTAACGAGGAAAATTTCTAACACCATTCCTATAAATAACTATTACATAATAACAGGATAATTACATAATAACGTTAAATAACTGTTGCTCAATGCGGTTACAATCACATTGCAACGCATTGTTTATCAACTTATGAAAAATGCATTAAATTAGCACGAGTAAATCAAATTAAAAAGCAAAACCTTCTTAGGAATGTTTTACGGAGAAAGTTTGATGAAATGAAAATTTCAAGAAAGTGGAATAATATTCGAAATGTTCTCATTTTAGAAGCTTGAATAGAAAGTAATTAGAGAAGAGTTCTTGCAATTGTTTATTAGACTTATTAATTAAAAAAAAAACTGGAAAATTGTGAAATTCCGAAAAAAGAAAAGTTCAAAACGCATCTCGTGATGTCAAAAATTTTTACGCTATCGGACGAAAAAATAGCACAACTGTAATTTTTGAGAAATTTTATATTTATACTCAAGTTTCACGAACATTTAATGGTATTGATACGCGTTCATCTCAAATAACACAATAAACAATTAAACGTAAACATGTAAATATCGTTGTAATTAATGTTGATATTTCTGTAATGTTGTTGATATTTCTACAGTTCAACAATATTATACTAATATCGATACAACTTGTATACCTAACGATGAGTTGGACTTCCATTTTTTTTATATATAACTTTCATTATACGATTCCATAATGACTTATACAACTTTTTTATACAATTATTTTTTTTTATTAATGATTTATACAATTTATACAATTATTTAATATTTTTTAATATTATTTATAATATAATATATTTAAATATTTAAGTAAATTTTACTATTTATAGTAAAAATATATAATAATATTTATTTAATATTTTTTATTTTTATCTGTTTCCGCCATTCCTGCCGACGCAAACAGCTCGTGATAGTTCTCCTCGGCAATTTCACATCATATTTATAATAAATTGGAGAACAAGAGAGAACAGATATATTATACTATTATATCATATTATATTATATTATATTTTGAGAGATGCAAAGAAATTTTTTACAATTGTTGCTCATAGATGGACGCATTTCCCTATTGAAATAAAAAAATATTGATCTTCGTACGAGTGCATGACCTCTAATTTGCACTTCAATTAAACTTTTGTTCATCATAGCACTCATTCGGTAGTCAACGAACTGTACATCTATTCGTTCATTATAACCAACTGCAGCCAATAACATAATGCTGCCTCTGCCCATTTGTCGACTTACCGAATTTTCTGTTCTATTCCAGTGACGTAAAAATAACAATTAAAGCTGTCATGATCAACTATATTAAATCTCGTCGAAAACGTATCAGTCAAAATTCAGTTATATCAATAGTGTGCTATCGTTTTGTCCGACAGTGTAGAGTCAAAAATCTCCAATTTCAAAATATTCGAAGAATATCGAGAATCTCACATATAACAGCGATATAACGTTCAAGTATCAGCTTACCTTTAAAGTTCCGTTCTCAAAGACAATATCCGCTATATCGATCTCGTACGTGAAGATCGCCCCTAAAGCACACTCGGGTAATCCTCTGTGAATAAAAACTGGCTTTATGTCGTGAGTGTGCGACTTGTCTCGTCGCAAGTAATCGGTCAGTATCGGCAAGAAATGGTCCGTTTTCGAGCAATAATCGAGTTCACACTCTCCCGTCTTCACGTCAAAAACTGCATTATTCAAGCAACATCTTCTGACGTTCACTAGTTGCGACAACGGTGAAGACTCTGAATATTCTGGATCCTTGTCTTCGTTAGAGTTGCAAAGCACGAGCGTGGGAACGTTGCTCCTACTAGTTTCGTCGTGGAGAATTTCGAGACAGAAATCCTGCAACTTGAGAAAGATATTAACTTTTACTTAAGCTGTTGTTTTAAATAATTGGAAAACTGCTTTTATTAGCGTGTTTTGTTCGAAATGTGTAATTTTTGTTAGAAATTTTATAGCTTCAGAATAACGTATTTTTTGAAATTTGAAATGATCTCACCATTGTATTTTAAACTTTCACAATTTTTGTATTTTAACGTTTTTGATGGAAATTTTAGGCTTGTTAGATTATTATTGTAATATAATTGTATTACAATGTCCGACACTATTTAAAAAGTAAAAGAAAGAAGCAAGAAATATCATAAAATAGCTTTGCACGTCGCGTTCTTTCCGAAATAGAAATTATGCGATATAATAATTAGAAATGGGTTCGAAACTAATTTTTTGATTCTCGAAATTCGAATCCGAGGCACCGCAAGGTTTCAAAACTTGAACTGTATGATTATATTTTATAAGACGAATTTCTTTAACGGGTCAGGACAATTTAAAATTTTCAAAAAATCGATTTTTTTTTTGTTTTTGTTTTAAATAGTAGTTTGGAGTCTTAGAAATAAGATACAAAAGGTCCTAGTCTTTAAAACGACTTAGGCCAGTCACACTGCTCTGCTCCCTTAAGAACTGGGATTAACTCCATTATATAAATTTTTATTAACTACAGTTAAACAAAGTACAAAATATCAAATCCAGATTCTTAGTGTTTAAGAACGCTAACATTCGAACTCTTTCTTCATCTAATCTACTTCTTGTTCTTTTGTCAACTATAGTATTGGATGTACGAAAAAATCTTTCAGAGTGTGTCGTTGATAACGATATAATAACATATTTTTTTGATAATTTTTCTATTCTAGATTTGGTTAATTTTGCATCCGACTTTTTTTTACAAAGAATTTCGAGCTGCATCGATTAATGAATTATGGCTTAACTACGTGAGCCTCCGAGAAAGTCCACTTGTAACAAAAAAAAAAAAAATTATTATTGCCATGCCATAGCTCTTTCTATACTGAATAACTTTTATTTACAAGATTTTCATATTTCAAGAAGTAGTGGAGATATTTAAAATGTTAAACTTAATTGAGAAAATTAGGTTTTTAATATTTTAGTTTAGTCCATTAGAACTATCGTTCATAATACGAAGATCGAATACAAAAAGTTACGATTAGAAATCTCAAAAAAGAAGATTGTAAGCCGTTAGGTTTATTAATATAATGATATAGCTTGTCAAACAATAAATAGATAGTACAGAGTAGACATTTCTTATTTTTCACTGGTACAACGAATGTCTGACGTTATATTATTATTATCGTTGTAATTTTATAGTTTCACAGTTCTAGCTGCGTTATAAAAATAGAAAAATACAGAAAGTGAATATTTCTCATTTTTCTTCTCCTTACCTTTCCATATGTGTGTGTGTGTGTGTGTGTGTGTGTGTGTGTGTGTGTGTATATGCCTGACAAACAAATGCCTACGCAATATTCTTAAGCAAGACGTAAGAAATAAATCAGGCAGTGAAAACAATTTGAATATAACAAGCTTACGTCGAAGTTAACAAGTTTGAGAAACTTACAACAAAAGCAAATTTATGGCGATGCATCTTTTTAACGACAAAACTTGAAAAATTATTTAGACAATTGTATAATTCAATTCGTAATTTAGATTCAATTTCTTTTTTCAGTGATTTTGAATTAACGAGACAACGTATTTAAGAATTCTCGTTTTTCGACAACTAGTGGTACTCTTAAGACAGCTTCAAAATTAATAATCAAAAAACAAAAATTTATGTTAAATACACCATCTCATGCAATAAGAATATGTAATCTAAATTGCTTCTTAAAATTATATAATTGTACAAGTCAAGCTTTATGTTAGTGAAAAAAATAGTGTGCTAAATACGATAAATTAATCTTCATTAGAAGTTTTTCAAATTTATATTTAAATTTTCACATTTTTACTATTTTAGTACATATCCGCGATTTTTATTCGAATATTTCGACTTTTCGTACTGACGCTTTATTTCTAAAGAATATTTCTACTAAAAAGCAGCATATATATTTAAAAATTATAGAGTATAAGCGAGTCCGTTTGACAGTAATTATAAATACAATCAATAAAAAATAGCATCGAATAATATAGTCTTATATTTTTATTTACGATTATAAATAATTTCATAATTAACACAAACATAAATTCAATAAACTTGTATCAATTCCAAGATTTATGACGACAATAATTAGAAGCGTGTTCAAAAAAATTTGTAGAAAATTTCATGCAATAAACACCGAATGCACAGAAACTTTGATAAACAATCTTTGATAGCCTGTTCCACAATTTTATTGCCAAATCAACACGATCGCTTTCGTTTAGTTTATTATCGTGACATCATGAAATATTTTATCCGGAATATTTATCAGGATCTCTATTAATTCCTCGTGTTGCAATGTAATGTTGTGGTGAATTCAACCGAAAATTTACAATCGTTAAAATTAGTATTAGTAATTAAAATCGGTCAAGTTGTCATGTACCTGCACAATTTCGATAGGATTCAATTCGTCGAGAGACAAAGTGACAATACGCTTTAAAATGATTAATAGCTCTATAAGATTAATACTTTAATCTTAATTATTAATTAAATTTTATAAGATTAATAGGTCTATGATTTTCTGTAATAGCAGTTTAAAGTATCGACTAATTCTCTATAAAATGCAAGGATTTTAAATCGAACGGGAAATTATTAACATTTCAAACTGTTGTAACTCAATAAAAAATCGTAGATTTATTAATCTTATATTAATCAAAATGTTATATTCGTTTTTTTTTTTTTTCTAAGATATTTTTACGTTATTCTGAAAGAGATTGAGTAAAGATATTTTTTCTCTCAAAAATCTAGCAAATTCAAAATAGATAAAAGTATAGATACCAATTTAAAATTAGTATTAGTAGTTAAAATCGGTCAAGTTGTCATGTACCTGCACAATTTCGGTAGAATTCAACTCGTTGAGAGACAAAGTGGTAATATGTTCAACATCCTTGCAAACAAAAAGTTCATCGTAAGTTATGCTCCCGTTGCCGAGATTACTTAGAAAAACCTGCGTTGCACGTGGTGGTGCCTGGATGCAGTTCACTTTCGAGATCCCCGAAAAAACCTCTCCAAACGGGCAACACTTTTTAAACGATGATGTAACACCGACTGACAGAGACAACAATGACGACAGAACAATTAAATTTCCCGCCATGGTAAACGAACTGCACCATGAATATTTCAATATTGATCGACTCGCAATTTCACTGAACATCGTTTTACTGAAAATCACACTTGACTGTCTTTTTCGTCGACGTTTATTTAAAAAAATAAAATCTCTTTCTTTCTTTTTTCACTGTTGACGTAAATAGTAGAAGTATCAAACAGAGAGTGCACGGTATTTGTTGCTATTTATTGTCATTGTACACGAGGCAAAGTACACGATACTCGTCGATACGATTCCCAACAAGCTCTGAAGCACGAACTTCGGTGTGATTGTTCGTGAAGCCGTTTTTGGAGAACCTTGAATGCAATCTTCCAAGAATCGACGACGAAAATTTATTCGTCGTTGTACCTGGAATTATTTCACCGAATAATCCTCTGCTTTTTCAACTGTTACTCCTTTGTTTCTCTCTTTTACTTATTTCAACATCTCGTTTCGTTAATTCCAATGTCCAGATTTATTGTTCGTCGTATATATACATATACACCGCCTAATGTGAAATTTTCTTTTAAGTATATTTAAGTATATAACCCAGGCAAAACAAATAATAAATTTAATTTCTATGCAGTGATGTTATACGGTTCGGTCACTCGTTATGGTCCGCAATCAGTTGCCAGCGCAAGTGGTTAAAATCAACAATTTTCGTTTGTCGAAATAAATACGTTTTATTATTTATTCTGTACCGAATGGCAAAATGTTGTTACGAACGCCTGAAGCGTGTCTTACAATTAGTATCGTTACTGGTCACTCTTCTTCATCGAGTCGAACGCGACAGTACTCCCAACGGTAATCTTCAAGCTATTCAGCTCTCTCTGATCAATTAAAGCGTCGCTCCCGTTGCATAATGCAACGTATTACGCGCGCGTAATTGCAGCCAGATAATCATCAGAGATTCACGCCAGATTATAAAGCAACTATTTCTCGAAATTAGCTGACACGTTCGGTGACCGGAACGGTTTCATCGATAGATTAGCAGCATCAGTTTCAGGCAAACGCCTCACTTTCAATCTCGAGTTCTTCTCGGTTCGTTGACCAAACGCTTCTTCGTGGCTCTGTCACGCGCAGACAATCCATCGGAACAGCTTCAAGAAATTATTATTCCTTCTCCTCTGAAATTACGAATTATGTAATTTTGTGTGATACGCGTGGAAGAAATGAAATTACCGACGTAGATTTAATCACTACGATTTGAAATTTGTACTCCATTCAGTTTACTCTTTCATCATTCTTCACTCCGGAAGTCTCCGAATCTCTGCTAGTTCTTCGCTCGAATTTACTATCCTTCTCGACGTCGCACTTTCTCTTTCTTATCTCTACAATTGCTCCACCACCGTAATTATTGCCTCTCTTCTTCCATTCTTGATATTACCACCTTGATATTTCGAAATAATTAATCTTTGCAATCTCGCCTTCTGATTTTCCCCAAAGTCGGTTACAGTCTCAGCTTTTTCACGCCAATAATCGATCCACGAATTGATCGCATCCTCGTCACTCCTCGAGGAACAAATAATCCCTCCGGTTCCCCAATTTATCTCGTTCCTTTTTACGATTTTCAAACACTCGATATTCTACTTTCATTCGCACCCTTTGATTCCTCGCCTACCTCGAAGTTCGAATCAATTTATTGAAATTTGACGCAAATTTCTTACACTAATAAATAAACAAATCTTTCAGTTACAAAATCTGTGCGTCGTATCGAAAAGTCGAACGCTGACGACCAAGTTATTAAAGAAAACAAGTTGTTTGACAAGTCCTGGGGACGTCGCCGGTATCGAGCCCCTTATTGTCTCTCTACAGCCTTCTCGCGAGTCCAGGTGTGGATCTCCCCCGGTACGTTCGGAAACGGGCAACGAAGCAACGACGCGGCGAATACGAACGCAGAAACACGACTGTACGGACAGTGGAGATCAGAGAGAAATTCGACTAGACTCGCCGCGGCGTCAGAACGACAAGAAAACCATACACGAGGCGACGCGCCTCTTTCCGCTCGGCCTCCCTTCTCCATTTCGCAATTCCCCTCTACGTCCGTGTTTTCCTTCGTTCTTCTTATTTTTCTCCCCAAGTTCTTAACATGATCCGTTGAATTCAGTTTTGCGGATGGGACGTTTGACTCATTGTCAGTGAAAGTAGCTCGTCTCGACTTGCCTCTTCGACCTCGACTTGTGATGGGAGGGGGGGTCGAGCTGCAATTAATCGATTATTAACATTAGAACTACCAGAGTAATCGATTATTAACGTTAGAACCGTCAAAATGACTAATTTATCAATTTATTAATTTTTATAATTTTATAATTTTATCAATTTATTAATTTTTATAATTTTATAATTTTATCAATTTATTAATTTCTATAATTTTATAATTTTATCAATTTATTAATTTCTATAATTTTATAATTTTATCAATTTATTAATTTCTATAATTTTATAATTTTATCAATTTATTAATTTCTATAATTTTATAATTTTATCAATTTATTAATTTCTATAATTTTATAATTTTATCAATTTATTAATTTCTATAATTTTATAATTTTATCAATTTATTAATTTCTATAATTTTATAATTTTATCAATTTATTAATATTTATTAATTTTCTATGGAAATTTTATACATTTATAATTTTAGCGATAATTTTTTAGATATTCGAGTGATTTTTGATAAAATATATTAACAAAAGTTTGTAAAATATATTAACAAAAATTTCTTTTTGTATATTGCGCTTGAATTTCTCTGCCACAAATATAATACTTTGGTCGTCGGTAGTTCTAGTGTTAACTGTTGCTTTGAATCAAGAAAAGGAATAATGCTTGCGACTGGATTGAGAAATTTACGTGCAAAAATATTCGAAACAAAATATATGATTTTAGTAATAATTTTCTATCTAAATTCTACCTGTTTAGTTATCCTTGTAAAAATATGAAATTGCATAAACATTCGCAGTCGATTCGTCAGGTTTTGGCACATGTAGAATGTTTTTTCTTTTTTTCCAAATTTCGTTTTGGCGCCAATGTTAATTTTATTTTATTATATTAACACATTCGTGTCAAATGATAAATATTTCAATTTTTCTTGTAATTCTGAATGTAGCTCGTGCTAAGTGACTACATTTTTGAGAAACTTGAAATTTTATTTTATTATAAAATGGATTTTTAAATTAAAAAATTCAAAATCATTGATAAACATATGTTAAAAGTATATTTATTGATTATAAAGTTACAGCTTTTTCTTTTAAATATAACATTTACGTTGCAAAATTCTGTAAATGTTAATGAAACGAATATATTAATCAAAAGAAATTTAATCATACAATGTTGAGCAAATTTTGGAATAATATGATTAAATGAAACATTACCTATAATCTATAGTACCTTATAGTAACCTATAGTATAGTATAATTTTTCTAAAACCAATTTAAAGATTTCTATGAATATGAGCTTACCATTTAGGAGAAGTTAAATATTCTTTCTCATTCTAAACAATTTTTTAGTTTACTGTAAAGACATTGATGAACACACACACACAAGGAAGTTACAACAACTCCATTCTGAAACTTTTTGAACTGTAAATAACTGATAATTCTTCGAAATCCCAGGATCCAGAAAGAAAATAGTAATTGAAAAAATATATTGAACGATATTGAAATTATTTTGATTAGATTTTTGTTATTTTCAGAAATTATATGCAACAAAGTTTATTTGCATAAAGCGACAGTACAGCAATCTAAAACTGACACATAAAAGATAAGATAAAAAGCAATACATTCTACATTTTCTTTGTCTTTCATGCACAAAATTTTACGAAATTAAAATTAAAGTTAATTGTCCTCAGATAGAAATTACTTACCTAATATGTACTTTTTTTTTATAAAAAAGAAGATAAAGCATCGATTGACAAATTGATCTACAACTGATCTTTGGATTCTTCATCTTCAGTTCTTAAAACAATTCCACTTGCAAAACAAATATCAATAATTCCACTAACAAAACGATCATGTGCAAATGAAATATGTTATTATTACATGTATATGTAATAATTTAAGTTTACTTTAGGTTTAATCCTTTAAATAAGCTTCCAAAAATTTCCCACATAAGGATGCTTCCTATTGCTATAGTATTATCACTTTTGTTTCCATTGGTCCATTGAACGATGAATATATAATATAATATTATAATATTAATGTGATATTTTGAAACAATTGAGACATTCAACTATAATTATAGTAAATGAACGATACGAGAATAATTTTCGCTTACTAATAGAGAATACCTAAATATCCAAAATCTAATTTAGATTAGACAACAAATGATGCCAATTAACCAGACTGCGGATTTTTATGCCATTTTTAAATTTTCGTAATTGAGGAAATAGAACCGAAATAAAAAAATCGTTTCTTTTGCATATTATTACAATTAACACTCTTCTCTGGATATTTTATACATTTTTGTATATTACGTGCAATGCGTACATTCTTTGCATGTTCAAATTTTCTATAAACGCATAAAAATCCGCAGTCTATTAATGACCAATTTGTACATGAACCACAATTTTGACTCAATCACCAGTGGAGCAATAAACATTAATTGGCAAAGGTTTCTCAACCAGTATTCAATCATTGGAAACGTACAAGCAATCGTAGCAATTATGGTTACAATACATCAATATTTTACAGCCAATAATTTAGTCTACATGCATATTAATTTCATGATATTGTGTTTTACAATCATTTCGAGAATACTCTAAATAATACTGAATTTTACATTTTAACGCGATGTTTGTTATTATTTACAATAATGATTGTAAATTGCTACAATCCGAAGCGTAATGACGCTCTTGTTTCTTGGGTAACATTTAACAGTGCATTAACTAAACGAACTTTAACAAATGCATACCCATTTATTATACAGTGTAACTCTGTTTATATGAGTTTGTTGAGGGGCAAATAGTTTGTTCAACTAGAATTTATACAGGATGCTTCATTTTAATCTAGAAACGCAGTTATCTCCGAAACTATTCGAGATTAAAGGGGACAGGACAGTGTGACGGGCCTAAAAATTACGTATACTTTGGAGGGCTAGTAAAAAGAAACTACATATTTGATTGACATGAGCTTTTGTGGTTTATTTCACAGTATGAACTATAAAAAGCAACATTAAAAAAGAAAAAAAGAGGGCTCTTATTTAGCCTTTTAACGGCATCTTTTTACATAACTTTTTTTTACATTACCTATCGGTGTGCATGATTCCAGCCAAACAGGATTAGCTGCAACAAAAAGGCAAAAGAAATTCAAAAGTAAACAATATTCTCTAGGGATTAACGATCCAATATTTTCATTTCTGTGAAAATTACGAAAATAGCAGCTATTTGTCTTTGATGCATCGAATTTATGCCAAAAATTTATACATTTTTTGTTTATATTTTTCGAAATTGTTAAAAATTAAAAAATTCGATCGTCAATTCCTAGTAAATGTTACACCAAACATACATACCAAGTTTCACAGTAATCGGTTGGTTAGATTCTGAGATATCTTGC